CTTGGAATACAGGCACCATTCTGTGAGGACCTAGTAAATCCTTTCTTTCTTTAATCTCATCCCAAACTGAAAGGATGAATGTATTTTCTTTTCCTTTGAAGGAAGTAGTGTGTCCTATGAAGGTGTCTGCCAGTTTCTGAAGGTCCAGCTTGTGCAAGCTGCAGGGGTTTTGAAATAACTTTATTTGCATGGCTTAAAAGAGGGTCTCAGCTGTAGAAGAGGGATGGGCTTTGTATTTCATATCCACCTTGTTGAAGTGGAGCCATGCGGGGAAACTGTGTGGAGCCTTGTGGCTGGGCTTCTCTAGGCCAGCAGCCACTGGCTGGGAGGGCTGACGGAAGCCACAGATGACTGGCTCAGGCCTCTAGCTCGGCTCTTCTGGCCTGTTCATTCTGAATCACCAATTTTTTTGATTTCACACATGTTGTAATTAAAAAAAAAAAGTGGCTCAAGAGAGAAAGATGTCACATGACAGAATTCAAGCAGAATGGTTTTTTATTAAGGGAAAAGATCATAACAAGTCCTTACACAGCATCCGGACCCGGCTAAGACTTTGCTTGGCTTTGGGATGCTTTCCTGACATCTCAGCTGCAGGTTGCCTCCAGCTACAATAGGCAGCACCACTGAGAAGGTGGCCCCAGGTAGGGGCGAAGCCTTCGGCCTGCATGCAAACAGGAGCACCTGAGGGACTGGAGGTGCTTACACTTGTGTTCATTCCTGCTGCCATTGACCTAGCATCTGCACCCTAAGAGTGTGGCTCCTGTCTTTTGAAATCATGTAGGAGAAACTGGGGAAAAGGGCACCGAAGTGGGTAATTGCAATTCAAGGGTTGTGGCACCCAGAGGATTATGAGAGGAGAACTGTGGGGGACACCTTCCTGGAAAGGCCGGCGGGGGGTTCTGAACTGAGGCAGGATGGGCTTCAGAGAGAAATGTTGGCAGGTGGAGGGGTAGGCTCCACCTCCAGCCTTGTGATGGTCAGAATCTATTCCACTGTGCTGTCTTTTATGTTCATTGTACTAAACACAGTGCCTGGGCATAGTAGGTGTGCCAGTGAAGAAAGCATCAGGACGTTTTCAAGTAATGCCTGGGGTGGGGAGCGATGGGATGAGATGGGAAGGCTGAGGTCAGGTCATGGAGGGCTGGGCTCCCTGCTTTCCTAATGAGCTAGACTGTTTCCTTTTAAGTCGGAATGGGGCATAGATTTGCACCTTATTTCCAGCAGAGGCACTGTCAGGGACCCGGAGGCCACCCACTCAGTACATGTGCAGTGACTATTTTAGCATCATCTGTCTATCTCTGCGTGAGCCTGGGAGCGCAGGTCTGGAGACCACTTTGGACTTCATCCTATGTTGTCTTAGGACATGGCTTGGCCTGGTGGGGCTGCCTGAGGTGGCACAGAGAAGCCTTCGAGTGGCTGAGACAGAGAGCTAAACACCCCTCTGGGTACTGCTGTGGGGTGAGAGTGGATCATGCTGGAGACAGCGGGCAGATGTTGAAAATCCTGCCTAGCAACCAGACTGTGGACCAGGTTGAGGTCAGGGGTGACCAGCAGAAATGTGGAGGAGAAGATGAGAGCTCAGACTTCCTTTTGTTTCTGTGGAGGGAGAAACTGTAGCTGGATTTCAGGCGGGTGCCATGGGACTGAAGAATTTGTTCTAGGAAGGGAGGAGGCAGCTTCTGCAGAAACCACACTCCTATCCTGCAGTGAAATAACCTGAAAACACCCCGTTTGCTGTGGCTTTCGACAAACCATTTAATACCTCCAGGGACCGCCCAGGAAATATGCTAGAGCATCGTTTCCATTTTTCTCTTCAATCTGGGACGAGACTGACCTGGGCCAATGGCAGATGAACCAGGCTGGACTTCAGGCGGGGAGGATGCCCGAATTGCAGTTCTCCTTTCTTTGGGTGCTACTGTATCCTGCATGGAAAAAATTTCTAATTCATTCTCACTATGTCCAGCTCTTGCAGACATAGTAAGACCAGCTCTTGCGGACACAGTATGACCAGCTCTTGCGGACATAGTGTATAGCAATTGCCCTTGACTGACAGCCCTAGGGTGTCAGTGACAATAGGTATCCATGGTCTTGCAATTTTCAGGGGTTTTGGGGTTTTGTGTATTTTTTTCTGGCTCTGAACTGTGGGTGGGAAAACAGGTAGGCGGACCTGAGCAGCTGGACACCCTAGTTGCCCTTTGTGAGAGCTCTGATCCTGTTCCTTGAGTGGTTTTTATTTTTTATTTATATTTATTTATTTATTTAGAGACAGGGTTTCTCTGTGTAGCCTTGGCTCCCTTGGAACTCACTCTGTAGACCAGGCTGACCTCGAACTCAAAGAGATCCGCCTGCATCTGCCTCCTGAGTGCTGGGATTAAAGGCGTGCGCCACCACCACCCCGGCTGTTTGAGTGGCGTTTTTATGGGCAGACAGTACTGCAGAATGGAAACAGACTCAGACCTCAGCCACCTTCCATGAGCATCAAGTTGCCTCATTGCTACTTTGGGAAGATCACAACCTTCCCAAATAAGAAATCAACAAAAGCTGCCCCTCTGCTTACCAGGCAGCACCCAAGATACCAGAGAAGTGATAATGTTGTCATGGTGGCCATTATCCTAATATGGCCCAGGGAGATAGAGATAGGAAAATGAACAAGAGCATCCTGTCCTTCTGGAAACCTGCTTGTAGTGGTGGAGACAGAGGAACAGAAGGGACTTCTCTGGTGGCCACAAGCCAGGTGATGATATGGGTCACCATTTCTTGAGATGAGCCTTTGACATGTGTGATTCCATTCCCTGCTCACTGCAGACTGACAGTAGGAGCTGTGATCATTCTCCACTGCCACAGAGGAAGGGGTTGGGCAATAAGCAGAAGTTCACACAACTGGTGTATGCATGAGCCTGAGCCTGAGCCTGAACTCGGGGCTGTGGAAGTTAAAGTCAAGTCAAGGCAGGCCAGCCAGCCCCTTCTGGTCACCAACTTTGAAAATCTATTTCTCCTTGGGTAGATCACTCAAGGTGGCTAGTGGAAGGACACGTGCAGCTGAGACCCAAAAGGATCTTCATTCATGATGGCCTCTGGGTGGTAGGCAGTGGGACATCTCTACAGCAGCCCGTGAAGTAGCGTGAAGACTGTTACCCCCATTCACTCAAGGATACCTTTTTCTGCCAGGCAAGCTAATTAGTAGTCCAGGTTCCTACTACCAGAGAGTGGCCACAGAGACATTGACTCAACAGCAGGGAGTTGAGGAAGGTGGAGACAGGGAGGGGCTGCTGCGGCCAGCTCACACCCACGTCTGCCCTGCAGGTTTGTAGTTTGGTAGACCTTACCAATAGACAGCTGCTTTTCTAAGATGCACAGTGGACCAGGGCCTACTATGGTCCCACCACAGATGTGACATTATGTTCTGCTTACCTGATTCTGACTGTCTGGGTGGGATGCGTGGTCCCTGTACAGGGCTCCTGTGAGCAGGATACTGATTCCCTAGGACCACAGAGTGTCCCTAGTGTCAGGGAGGGTCTTGAGATTGGTGGCAGGCAGGTAGGACTTACCTTACTTCTGGGAGGCCCTTGGGTCTGACTCCCTGCTTTTGACCAATGTGGACTTTCTTCTCAAAACTAGCAACCTATTTCCTCCTTTCCTTCTATCCTGTTTGCAGACATCGATTGGCCTCAGCTTAGCACCTATGGCTCAGTATAATACATAGTATGTATTTTATAATATATATATATATATATATATATATATATATATTAGCTATTTTTTATATACAGCTATTCTTGTGCTCATTTCTTTCTAGCCTAAGGTTATTGTTAAGTTGTTCGCTATCTGCTGACCTCCAGTAGGAGGCATGCATATGCATGAGAGAAATTATGCAAGAAACAAACTGTGGCTTTATCCGTAGCCGCGTGTTGTATCAAGTTGAAGACATCATTGATTCTAATACACATTGCTGGTCTGTGTGGCACTGAGAGAGAAAAGCTGCCATGGGCTAGAGGCACCTTACCTACAGAGACAATTACAGATAAATAAATAAATACAATAAAAACAGCAACTGGCAACAGGCATTTGGAATCATTAAGTTACAGACTGTAGAGATGTTTGTAAGTAAAACATGCAGGCATGTTTATACTAACAAATCAGCACAGGAGAGGACTGACAGTTCCAAACCTGCCTTGTGTTATTAGGTTGAGTTGAGGGTATCAACAGAGGGGAAACCCAAAATAAACCTCGCCTGGCACAACACGCCTTGAGATATTCAATGGGCTTTTTTTTTTTTTTCTTCCCAAGACAGGGTTTCTCTGTGTAGTCTTGGCTGTTTGGAACTCACTCTATAGATCAGGCTGGCCTCGAACTCACAGAGATCTGCCTGCTTCTGCCCCCCTCCCACCAGTGCTGGGATTAAATGCATGTGCCACCAGTGCCCCAGCCATTTAATAGGCTAGTAATATGTTATTGCCAATGGGAACTGATCCTATTGGTTCCAGCAGTCTCCTGTGGAAATGTGTCGGAAAATGGATTCCTAAGCCCCATCCCCAGTCTATTGTCTTTAAATCTGTGGGGATGCATATAACTACTGCATATAACAAACCTCTTCCGATTAGATCCTTTAGTAAGTAATGAAGAAGATTAAGATCAGGGAAGATAGGTGGCCAGGTCAGGGCAGAAGAGTTATTACCTCCATCATTGGAGCTGGAAGCTGCAAGTCCAAGCCCGAGCTCAGTGCTCATACCTCTCCTTGCTTTTCTCTCGGGTAGGACACAGCTTTGCACAGAGGTCTTGCTGTCCATTTCTGGCCCCATCTAACACTTGACCTTAATTTTGGTCTACCTCACAAGCATGTGCCACTGTCTTTCCTCTGTTTAGTCTGATGGATGTAACACCTGCTGGATCCTGAAGGGACAACTTTGGTTTCCCTTAGCTCCATCTTCAGTGGGACAGTGAGCCTATGGCTAAGGCTAGGACCCCCCTTGGACCATGCTGAAGAGCCTCTTTTCCTGCAGGCAATGTGGGAGCAGTGCCAGCTACTGAAGAGTGCCTCGGTGTTTGCCCGCTGCCACCCTCTGGTGGATCCCGAGCCTTTTGTGGCTCTCTGTGAGAAGACTTTGTGTACATGTACTACTGGGCCAGAGTGCTCATGCCCCGCCCTCCTTGAGTACGCCCGGACCTGCGCCCAGGAAGGGATGGTGCTGTATGGCTGGACTGACCACAGCGCCTGTCGTAAGTTGCTGCTTTCCCCTGTGCTAGACACAGGCTTTTTGTCCCAGGGTTGGCGGCACTCGATGTTTTGGAGCTGTGCAGTGATGTATACCTTCCCACCAATGCCATCAGCCAGTGTCTACTGAGCCCTATGTCCTGAATGCCTCCTACCGTCTCTCACCTAGTCCTGTGATCACTGGCCGACGGAGAGTCCCTTTCCTCATGGTTTGTGTGGAAGCTGAGCAAGCCTTTCAAGGCCCTGTCCTTACCTCTCAATACCCCACGACTCTCAGGAAACCCATTCCCTGGCTTCCTACACTTGTTTCTGCTTCAACGCAGCTGTTAGGTCTCAGTGTTTGTCCTCATGGTCTTCCAGAAGGAGTGTCAGGTTATTGAAGCTGAGTGTGGGTGGCCCCAGAGGGACCAGAGAGCCTTCATTACACCTTCCCTTTTATTAACTCATCCTTCCGGCCCCCGGGCACAGTGTGTACTGTTCCTTCAATCCTGCTTTGCAACACCCCCATTTGACATCTGTAAATCTCATTGAGTCCATAGTCATTGTCACCATCTCCAAATTACCATGATTAAATAGAGACTTCTGGTCACCTTGCAAAAGCCTTCTCTCTCACCACCCTGATCAAAAGCCACTCTATGGACAGCTGGTTGGCTATAATTAGGCAGATAATGTGGACTGAAGGAGGCAGAGGGCCTGGCTGATATTGACACTGCACACTTGAGTTTCACCATCTGGCAAACAGCGCTGCCATCAGCTTTGCCTGTTGTCTCTGCTGTGGGGGTGTGGGAAGAGGGGGTTAGAGCTGCCATCTCCTCTTCAAAGGGCGTGGCTGTCTTTTCAGACCTTTGAAGGTAGGGTGGAAGAGATGCCTGATAGATGGTTTTGAAGGAGTTGATGGCAATGTCTTTGGGGTGAGCCAGTCCAGCCCATGAGGATCTGGGTGCTCCACGCATGGACAGAGAGATTGTTTGGCAATAAGGCTCAAAGGCAGCCCAGAGAAGCAGTGGAAATAAATGAATGTCACCAAAGTAGGCATGTATAGACTGTGTCCTGAGCTAGGGATGAGGTGACATTGGGTGGGAGCCAATACCACGAGGATGAGGGGGCTCTCAGAGGAGGAAGTGATAGTTTCTTGCTGGTCCCTGGAAGCCATTCCTTTTTTAGCTCAGAATTTGGGATTGCTCCTAGAAAGTTTTAGGTGAAAGTGGCAGAACACTGAGAGACAAAGATGTCCAAGCTTTCTTCATGGAGAATGCAGGACAGATGGCCATGAGGCAGGGGTGGCTGGCCCCAGGCACCCCAGTCAGTCTTAGTTGGGACCTTGCAAAATGGAAGATGCTCTTTCAGGGAAATGCTGGCTTCAGAGGGACCATGGGCTGGCAGATTGGAGATGGCCCCTGAGGCTCTATAGACAGAGTAGACAGTCAGAGGGGCCACGCTGGCTGCACTTGAGGTGGAGTTTGGAAACTGCCATGCTGGTGAACTGCTTGGGGAGACTCTTTTGACTTGTCTTTCAGACCCAGCATGCCCTGCTGGCATGGAGTATAAGGAGTGTGTGTCTCCTTGCACCAGAACCTGCCAGAGCCTGCCTATCAGTGAAGTGTGTCAGCAGCAATGTGTGGACGGCTGTGGCTGCCCTGGTAATAAACTTGCCCCTTCATTTGCGAACCTGAGGCCTTGCCAGTGCCCTTGGCTTTGGGAAGAGAAATGAAGGCCACTTGTGTTTTTCCCTCATGGCTGTAATCAGAGGTCTTTTATTTAGCTTTTTTAAAGTCTTTGTACAGGGAGCTCAGGATTAAACTGGTCTTTATTTTTAATTTATGTTTTCCCATTGTACTGTATTCACAAAGATCTGTGTCTAGGGAAATAAGGATGGTCTTGGCCCTAACAGTGACTTTGTTCAGGGAGCTCCTGGCCTGATCTGAGATGTGGATTTGTTTTCTCAGTTAGGGTGCAGGACTACAGCCTGGGAGAAATGTCTTATAAACTATGTCCTGGGTTTGCCTTGTGTGCTCAGCTGTAAAGGGCTTTCCAATAGAAAGTCTCTGTCCAGGAGACTGTGAGTGATGGTCACGAGCTGTATTCAATTACCCAGAGTACTAAGTCCTGAGGCTCATGACTGCTTTCCTGAATGCTGTTGAACAAAACTGTTGACTCCAAGAAATCCTGTAGGGATTGGAGAGAAAAAAAACCCAGCACACTCACACACATTGCATCATGCAAGTTCTTTGATATTCCCAGAAGAAGCCTCTGGCTAAGCTGGTTGGCTTCTCCACTGGACAACCCTGGGCAAGCTCTTTGGCTCATGCTTTCCTCTGTAGAATGGAGAGTCCATCAACATCAAGGGTAAACATCATAGCACACCTTCTTAGAGTTTTTCAGAAGCACTAAGCGTCTGATTCCCCATGGGGTTCTAGAAGTGAGAGATGAATAATGATGATGACAGTGCTGAGATCTTTGCCTTGATGCCCTTGAACCCAGAGGGAGAGCTCCTGGATGAAGACCGCTGCGTACAGAGCTCCGAATGTTCTTGTGTGCATGCTGGGAAGCGGTACCCTCCTGGCACCTCCCTCTCTCAAGACTGCAACACTTGGTAACTGGGGCTACATAGTGCGTTCTCCCCGGGGGTTTGGGGGAGAGAAAGCTGGGAAAGGAGGGGCAACATCAGGTAGATCCGGAACTGGCCCTGGTTGAGAGTTAGGGAATGGGGAGTTGGCTGAGGGATCCAAGCAGGTGTTGAAGGTAATGGCGGTATGCAAAGAATATGTCACAGGTATGCCTAGAGGGAAATCAGAGGGGCACATCTTTTCCATGCAGCTGACAGCTCTGGCTCTTTCCAAATGATGGTTTGGTAAATGACGCTTGTCCTTTGCAGAGAAGGCTATATATTACAGCAAGCACACAGCTTCTCTCCTTAGATCTTTTGTCCGTTGGGAATCCTCTAGCAGGGGCTCCTCCATCTATGTTCTATGGAGCCTCGGTGGTCCTAGCCTTGGCACCTGCCCTGCTTAGTTCAAGCCTCTCTTCGAGAATATCTCTACACATTACTTCTAACTAGCTCACGGTCCTCAGTACACTGGGGGACATAGCACCTTGTCCCACCTCCAGCCTCTTCCTGCTTACAGCCTCTAGTACAGTGGTTTTCAATCTGTGCGTCGTGACCCCTTTGGGGGTCGAATAGTGGCTATCCTGCATATCAGATATTTACATTACAATTCATAACAGTAGCAAAATTATGATTTTATGGTGGTGGTGGCGGGGTCATCACAACATGAGGCACTCACTGTATGAAAGGGTCACAGCTTTGGGAAGGTTGGGAACCACTGCTCTAGAGCCTGAGCCTCAGGGGTCACCTTCACTGTCCAGCATGGCTCTGGCCACCTCTTTCACAGGTCTCGATTGCTTTCCCTGTTGTGCATGGGGAGGGGAACAAGACTCCTCACTACCAGAGCAGATCTTCAGGGCCACTGAACACCCTAGGCCTTCTTTTTTTCTTTTAGTTTCTTCTCCTCTATGACGTCTCCGGGGACCCTTTGTGGCCAAAGCCATGTCCTGTACCACTTTAACCCTTTAAAGACTGCTCTGGCACCATTCCTTTCTCCAGGGAGGGCAGTGTTATCTGTGGTGAACGTTAATTTAATTAGGTGCCCTCCTGGCAGAACCAATGACCTGAGTCTCTCTTGCTCAACAGCATCTGCAGAAACAGCCTGTGGATCTGCAGCAATGAAGAATGCCCAGGTAGGGCTTGTGTACACTCTCTCCCCTTGCTCTGTGGAGAGGCATGTCCTCCCCTGCTGGACCAGGGAGCCCACAGCACAGTAGACAGAGAGTGACCCCTTGGCGGACCTCCTGACTTCAGCTCTGGCTTTGGATCTCAGCTGTGCTGTCTGCTCACTGTGGGCCATGTTAGGCAAGGAGGGTGAAGGGGGGGGGGGGGGGGGGAATGGGTTGCCCTGCCCAACTCCTGTTTACACTTGGGATTAAGTTGGTGAACTGTGAGACCTGAGCAGGGCTGACTAAGCAAAGAGAAGAGAAATTCTTTGGAAAATCAAGAGGAAGAAGAAGGTTTGAACAATTCTTTTGGTTTGGATTTTTAGGGCGAAACCAGGTTTCTGTAGCCCCAGTACACTAGTTAGTTAAATAGAATAATAGTGAAAGGTGGAGAATGGAGACCTATTCAATGAAAATGAACAAATAAAGAAGTTCGTGACCCCAAGTCTTCCCAAGAAGTCCTTACTGCTGTCATGTATGTCACTTGAGGGGGTAGTTTCTACAAGATACTTGTTTCTGAGGCAGGTGCAGCCTCGCCCTCGTGGATAATTGCCCTTGTCTGCCAGAGGTTTTGTTGTTTCAGGAATCTAGGTGACTCAAGGGGAAAGGTTAGCAATGACTTAGCTCTGTGCCTTCCGCCAAAGTAAAGGAGGACACCAGGAAGGCAGAGATCAATGCCTAGTGTTTTTCCTGCTCTTAGCTACCTTATGGGTGCAAGTGAGAAGCCAACTATCTTTAGCACAAACAGCTTTTGAGTGCTTTTTCATAAGTTCCCTTGGCATTTTCAGGAATGTCTGACATGCACACGCAGCATGGTCCAAATGCTAGGAGATCTAGGGCAGTGAAGGATTCATTTCCTAGTTACTCATTTGGGATCTGCTTAGGAAGCTGTGTTATATTCTCAGCTCTCTGTTTTTTTTTTTTAAGATTTTATTTATTATGTATACAACATTCTGCTTCCATGTATATCTGCACACCAGAAGAGGGCAACATGTCTCATTACAGATGGTGGTGAGCCACCATGTGGTTGCTGGGAATTGAACTCAGAACCTTCGAAAGAGCAGTTGGTGCTCTTAACCTCTGAACCATCTCTCCAGACCTCAGCTCTCAGTTTTTTACCTGCGTGGCCTTAGCTCTATTTATTGAAAACCTTGCCCATTCAGAGGTCCCTCTGCCTCACCCTTCATGACTCCAGACCCTTCTCTTGTACTCACTCATGTGATGTTTTTGATATGTTGGGCACTGTGCTAAGGCTTTTCATGCTCATTGTTATAACCCATGCGACAAGTACAATTTGTTTTCACCTTGCAAAAGAGAAAACAGATAGAGACAGGTTAAGGAGCTTTCTCAAAGTCACAAGCCGCAAAAAGGCAGAGCCAGGACTGGAACTCAGTCAGCTGTGGGATACTTGTCCTTCCCTTTGCTGGCCCTAGACTTATGTAGGCTGGAAGTGGCTTGGACACCTGGACTCATATGTGAAGTCTGTAGATTAGAGGCTTTAGGGTCATTTGGGATCCTATCACGCTGGGAAAATTCTGGGCACCAGATCAATTACTTTAGCCCAGGAATGGCCAACTAGTCTTTGTATCTATAACCGTAGAAGAAAGCATAAAGGGCAAAAAAAAAAAAAAAAATCTGTGCTCTATTTGAGCACAATCACACCCGACACAGGAGTCTGCATGTTGCAGGATATTTGTTAACACTGTGTGAAAGGCATCTTCTGATTGGTTTAACAAAGAGCTGAATGGCCAATATCTAGGCAGGAGAAAATAGGCAGGACTTCCAGGGAGAGAGGAACTGGAGAAGAATCTGAAGCATGTGGGAGAGGCCAGGGAGACATAGAGGGAGCTGGACATATACAGTGAAGGAGAAGTAGAAAGCCACATGGTAGAAAGTGCAGATTAATAAAAACAGGTTAATTTAAGCTATAAGAACAAGTGGAATAAGACTAAGCTAAGGTCAGGTTTTCACAATTAATAAGTCTCTGTGTCATGGTCTCAACAAGAAAGTACTGCTACAGTTGGTATCCAACGTGGAGGCCCAGCCCATATAACCAAACGTAGGGTCTGAGAAAGCTGAGAAAAGCCCCAGGCATGGAGCCCACTGCTCAAAGTGTACAAGGTGTGACTCCTTTAAAGGGCTCTGTTGTGCAACAGAGCACTTAAACAGCCAGCATGCTAGGTAAAAATGCCTGGTCAAGGGCAGAGCCAACCACCAGTCCCATATGCTAAGTGGGGCCCCCACAGTGGTAGGCTAGTCAGCTAATGTTTAGCTCACATGGTCAGAGAAGGCTGTAGACATGTAAAACGTCAGGTTCAGACCAAAAACAAACAAGCAAACAAACAAAAAAAACCTCTAAACAGGTACAGAATGCTGAAAAATGTACTTAGATGCTGAAGAAAGAAAATGGTTATAGACAGTCATAAAAATAAATAGTTTAACAATAATAAAGTGAAGTGAAGTCTTTAAAGAAAGAGTAAAATAATATAAAACAATAAGCCATGTAAGGATGGACAGGGTGTCTGGATCCTGTGTGGTGCTTTGTTGACTTTAAATTTTCAAAATGATAATGAATAAAAAAGCAACAACTACTGAGAGATATTCATTTGTGGAAAAACCCACTGAATCAAACCAGCCTATATATTTCAAGAATGTCTTAACTTTAGAATGGAAGTCAGAAAATGTGTTGCATTGGGGGAGAGATTATACTTTTGTTTTCAGTAGAGGAGAAAAGCTATGGATGCCATCAAGATTGATAAAGATTAGGTTTGAACAACAGAGGCCTCTTGATCAGGAGAGGTGATTGTTCATCCAACAGTATGGCCATTTAGCTCTTTATTAAACCAACCAGAAGGCACCTTTCACACAGTGTGACCAAATATCTGTAACATGTAAACCTTCCCATAGCTAAAAACAGAAGCACCCATTGCATAAGCCTGGTGAGCCACAGTGGACAGAATTAGGAGTTTAGCTGGCTGTGTTTCCTTCAGACTGACTCCCAGCTGTGGGAGTCCTAACACCAATAATGACTCCAGGGAGGGGCTGCTATTCATCCCCCTTTCAATCATCCATTCATCCAACTACTACCAGAGTATACGCTGTACCCATGAAAGTCTTGTCCGGACAATACAATCCCATGGTCTTCAATACAAAATCTCCAAGAGCTTTGCTGAGGATTCTAGACAACCTCTTAATGCCTTGACGGGCAGGTAGCCAGTCCCGACTTGCTGTCTGTGGAGTGGTTACCTGCTTTACTGACAAAGCTACTAAGATCTTGTCCCATTCTCAAAGCCCTGCTTTGACCCTCCCTCTACTCCTTCTATCCACCTCCACCCATGGTTGCCAGGTTGAGGCTTATCTCTCTGCCTTGTTGCCAGTGGGGCTGTCTTATCACTCATATGAGCAGCAAGAGTTACTGAAGGGAGGAATCAGTGGGAAGGTTCTGGAAGGGGATATGCCTAGCTCTCCAAGAGAAGGAAAGAGCAGACTGGGGCTTCTATAAAGAGCCCGGGAGGATGTATTGTGCAGCTTAGACGTAGTGGACTGAGCGTTGACTCTGGACAAAGGTGAAAGTGTATTAGTCATTGGTCTGTGCCACCAATGCCCAAACATAACGGGTCGCTTTGAAGACTGCCTAGAGTGAAGAGCGCTGAGTGTAGGAACTGAGAAGCAGAACGGTGAGGAAAGGGCCTGGGAGAGTAGCAGTCTGCTGGGGAGGAGCTGGGTATCCCCGTGGATGCCTTTCCAGAAACTCTCTATGCCCTGTTTATCTCTGCTTACTGGTTAGGAGTTAGGGTATCCTCAGGCAAAACTGTGGTGCATTGGGCAGCTCTGTGCACAGTCTACTTGTGAAGTAGGGGTTTAGTTTAAGGTTTAAGGTTGGGTGGCCCCATTCATTACAGCCTCTGGTGATAAAGACCCATGGTTGGGATATGTATCAGAGTGAACAATTATATCTGAAACCAATAATCAGAGAGATGGAGGGCGGCGGGAGGACAGGTCCTACAATCCTCTTCAAGGGCACATGCCAATCACCTAAGCACCTTCCGCTAGGCCCACCCCCTGTGGTTTGACCAAGCCTTTAACACATGGGCCTTTGGTGGACAGTCAACACCCACACAGCAGCGGGTGGTTTCCATGGGGCCTGTAGTTCCTTCTTCCCAATATCACTGCTCCCTCAGGCTCCTTCATGTTTCATAGGAAGGCTTTCTCCCACCCAGGCTCTCTGTTGTCCTCAAGGCCCTTGGCAGGTGACCACACTGACGAGGGGTCAGAGAGGCACCAGGCTTGGCCCTGAAGAGAGCAGGCTAATTAGAAACTGTGGACCCCAACCCACGGGGCAGGCCATGACGCCTGTGTTCCAAGTGCTCTTTGACTGCATTGGAAGTTGGGGCAGTTTAACTTCTCCGTGCTCACATTCCTCATGTGTCGGCTGGGCATGACGGCGCCCATCAATAGCCAGGAGGTGGCTCCCAGAGAGAGTGCAGAGACACAGCACACATATTTGGTCAGAACTACATTACTGAGTTAAAGGCCAGCTCAGAGGAGCCTGGAGTCTACACGAAGTCTGTTTCACCTTGTTGGAGGCTGTGGCCTGACATTTCTGCAGGGATGGCTGTAGGAAAAGGTGAAGGGCAATAATTCAAGCAGG